CAGCTCCGAATAGCGCGGTAGGGTCGATGGGGTCACGCGTTGGCTTGGCAAGAGAATTCTACCCCTGATGGCGGGAGATGCTGGCGATGGATGACGTTCATGTTTTTGTTGTGTGCTGTTTGCTGGTTGAGTCTTGGATGGGTTCTGACACTCTTCCTCTTTCAAGTCTTAGTAGGACCACACCCGCCACAAGCATATACACAGCACCCTCATTTAGAGCATCCGCACTCCTCTACAAAAAGAACTTTACCAAGTTCCAACTTGTTATGTTATCTTTTTTTTGTCTGAGCTATACCATGCTGTAGCACTCAGGAACCACCAGCCACCTGGGGAATACTTTCAAAACGCTGTATGATCTCTGCAGTGTCATCCGACTCCCCTTGATGTGCAGATTTCGATGGATTTCCTCTCGTAGGAAAAGCCAGGAAGCGATGAAATTTACAAAGAGGCACTACAGAAACCTCGTCCTCAACTGGTCTGAAATTGGAGACCGCATCCAAGATGTCTCTGATTGTGCGCTGGAGGACTTCCTTCACAGGAACCTCGCTTTCTAACCAACGCGTTTCGTTCCGGTTCTGCAGCTTTCGACATCCGTCTTTGTCATTTGATTCCTGAATACATTACAGCACAGGGGGGGGCGCACTCAAGCGAGAGTCCCACCATGCACCCTGACCCAACAATCTTTAAGGCAGCTGATGCGCCATTGCCAAGCACTCTTTAAATTCACCTTCCTTCATGACCAATCCACACAACTGGATGGTTTGCCCATTGGCCGGGTTGGTAAATAGTAAAATATTTACATGCCCAAGCTCGCCAATTGTACGTTGTACAACTCGGTGGATACAACAACGACTTAACCTACCATGTAGCCTCCGCATTTCGCTTAATATTCGAATCTGTACGCTGGCACGTATTTTGAACGAATACAAACACATACATCCTTATTATACCTCGCTCTCGCGTGGCTGTAGCCTGTAACCATTACTACATCCTCTTTTTTTTTTTTTCTTCGCGAGCTTTCTTGATCATATTCCTGTACCTTGATTTCTTCTTGATTTCTTCAAGGCGGAGCAACGAGCTCTAGTCTGGAGTTGTTGTTCAGCAGTTTGTTTTCACTTCCACGTCTGTTTGTCCTTTCCTGTCCATGAAATATACCCCACCTTACCACCATCGATCTTTAATCCTAGTCATAATAGTCCAATAACCCCCCCCCCCCACACACGCACACGCATGTTCAAAATTTCACTCCCATGGATTGCCCTATGGGCCTTGCTAAGCGCCTCCGACCTTGTCCACGGCACCAGTCTTCAAAGCTCGTCGAAGCAATTGCATGCTCGTCAAGCCGTCCATCGGCCGAATCCGCTGCGCAACTTTGAGGTCCGGGAGGTGAGCCGATTCCGCAAGCATCTCTGAACCGTGTCCCACCGCGACCGCGTCGTGAAATTAACCAGTGATCTTGATGTCGGTTGGGATCGCTTTCGTGTATTAGCCCCCTTCAGTGCCTAAAAGCCAGCCTTGTGAAGTGGCGATCGTCGAACATGTGAGTCCACTTCCGCTTTCCCTTCTGTGCCTTTCACTCCCGATTCATAGCCGGTTTCTTTGTTGGTCTGGAATTGATCAAAGCGGCGTCGGACTGACTCATCGGTCGTCCCTCCAGACTTTCGTCACTTCGTGGGGAAAGCCCGCAAATGCTAGTTTTACTCCACCTAAAAAGTGCGGTCGACCCGGTAGTTGGGCATCCGTAATCTTCAATTTGACTGCTAGTTGAGTCCCTTGATTGTCAAAGAAAAACCGTCATTTAAATACACTTCGTATCCGGCCAAGTTCGACCAAAAATTTAATAAAATAAAATAATAAACACTTACATCCTCTTCTTCTGCTTCATCAGCTTCAATCGGCACACAATATGATAGAGTCGGGGTAAGCATACATCCAGATGATCTGAAAACCCCAACTATGTTAAATTTGTTTGTCCGGATCCTGATAATCTCTGGCGATGCTGTTACTTCTTTAGATGCTTTATCTAAATGACATAGAAGGTAAGTTGTCTACGTATTGGCACGTCTGTTTTACGGGACACTGACTGACTCCAACAAAAAAAAACCCCGGTTTACCTAGTTTGGAGGACATCAACAGGTGATTATATTGTTTTTAAATTATCTGATCAAAAGCTCTGTGATACTAACAAATGATACCATACCCGCAGCCGAACCTACGAAAGAGGGAATAGTATGGACAGTGTAAGGCTCCAGGCTCAAGCCAAGAGAAACACAAGAAGTGCTCATATTAGTTTTTTTTTTCTGCAGGACCCGGGACATGACGAAATACATCCCACTGTTATCTGGTCCTGCTTCGTTCTCCTTGGACATCGGGAACACAGTCGACCAGTCGCTGGACTTGACTGGCAGCTTCGAAGTCACGCTGTCTGCCAAGTTCTATCCTCCCTCTCTAGAGTTCCCCGCAGCCAAGCAAGCAGACCGAATCCTCAACATGGGTCATGGCTCGGGTAACAACATGACCAGTTTTATGAGCTTCCCTCAGGTGAGACTACTCGAATTTTTGAGATGCACTGACATGCAGAGGCTCATCCTTTCCCCTTGCTCTTCAATCAGAATATCGCGACGGCATACTTGGAGTTGTTTGCTAGTGGGCGTGGCAAAGAAGAGGTATGTATAATGATCACTGTTTCCAATTTCCGCTTTTAAACGCGTCCAAGCCTTGCTCAGTGATCCAACATTCTTGAACATTTTCAATTCACAGTTTTGGGTGAGCTTTTCTCGATTCAAGATAGATAAACTTCTCATCCATCATGTTAATATAGGATCTTTTTAGTATACCAATGTGCCAGACGTCTACCGGTCGAAGCTTGATCCAACCAATGCTGGCACTGTGACCGGGAAGGGTTCATTCCGAGAAGTCCAGGTTTGGATTGGTAAATGAACCTGTCCAAGTTCAGATATTTTCAAGCATCATTCAGCTGATACTCTATATCGGACCGGGCTTTAGATCACCGTCTCGCAGGGGTTGCCTATCCATTCCCAGTTATATATACGGGTGGGATTCTCTTGGCATGGTGGAGGTGAGCGTGTTACGGGCTTTGGAAACAATCTTGTTCTTACCCGAGTCTCACTCTTCTCGTTCCCTAAAGACCAATCGCTGCAATCGGAGCTTTCGACGCGCCCACATACGTCCTCGACATTTCCCCCTTTGTCCCGCTGCTGGCGGACTCGAAACCGCACAACTTTACCTTGCGGGTGGTAGGACAGGGGGAAAATGGGTCGATCAATGAGGATTGGGTCTTCAGCGCCGCCGTTTTTGTCGGCTTGGATCCCAGTGCCACCCGCACCACCGGCAGTATTCTTACCCATTTTACGGACTCCAAGACGACGGTCGAAGTGCCCAAGGACATCCGAATCCCCCCCAACCTCGATCCCAAGTCATTGACTAGCTTCACTACCCGCAGCTTCAGACAACTCTCCATTTCTAGTAGTGTCGTCACGGGTACCGGCGAACTCAAAATCGTCAAAGTCGAACAAGACATGACTTTTGTTAATCAACAGACCTGGGCGGCTGATACAGCTTACCAAGTCAGTGATTCTCTTGATCTCAAATTCGTGCACACAAGATCTCCATTTATTAACGGCTAAAACTTCTTCTGAACGTTCTGATAGTCGATTGTAATGACCAGTCAAGGTAACAGCATTTCCACCCATGGTGATACGGCAGAAAAGATCGACAACTTCCGCTATCCATTCAACCTGACCCTCTCCGCCTTAGCCGTCCCGTCCGCAACGAAGATTGTCGGACACCTGAACCATAAATACAGTCGCTCCCAAGTCTTCCCCTTCTCCTCCAGTTTGGGAAAGATTGCGATTGAGACCACGCAAGACGCAGCGGGCGAGCTGGTGGTAGACCAGAAGGGCCGAGCGCTGAGTGGGCTCGGAAGAACGATCCAGTCGTTCACTTACAAGGATGGCAAAGGTGGCTCGTACGCTCGAGATGTTGACATCTATAATTCTACCAAGACCATCAGAGACAAGGAGTCGGGCACGCTTCTTCCCGCCATCAAGACCGAGAGTCTCACAACTTTATCCGTATCAAATACTCCCCTCGAGACCAGCCTTCTATCGACAGACTCATTATCAACAAGCGGCCCCGCTCCTAAAGGTCTCCCTGAAAACGCTTTCTCAACTAGTGCCATCTCTTTCTCAGAAGACCAGCACTTGCATGGCGATGAAACTCTCCGAGGTGCTCCTTGCAAGACCTTGCATGCCCCAGCCCCGCGTCCAAAATCTAAAACCCCTCCCCAATAATTTCTTTTCATCTCATACACCCATTCGCATATATACTTACTACATTCCAAAAAAAGCGCTCCTAATTTTTGAAAGTTTTTGGAAAACATCAAGGGACCAATCCGCCTTTCAGGAACAAATCGCTGTATCCACTTCATTCCTTTTGTCTATCATTTTCTCCTCTACCATATAATTCGGGACTGCTGGACTTTTAAATGTGTTGATATTGATGAACAATGTGTATATTTGACAATTGGATGCTTACATTTTCCTGCCTGTTGAAATCACATCGAGCGAGGCTTCACTGACACTACTGATGAGATTCATTCGGCATTAAGCAGAAGTAAAATAGTGGGCAATCTTTGTTGTTTTTGGTCATTCGCCATGGATGTGATGGACGGAACCTCACTGTTTAAACCTAGCCAAAACCTCCGTTTTCAGCTACTTGATCTCATCAAGTTTTTTTGAATACCTAAGCTATGCAATTGGCGTGGGCGCGTTTTTTCTAAGCAAATAAACTGAAAAATCTATTTCTGATGATTGTAAAGCCTCTCCTTGGATAATCTCACATCGTATGATCAGGCCCCAAAAATGGCATTCATAATGGCGACGTGATCCTTTTCAAAATGAGTAATCCTGGCCATACATACATTGTGTGAAATGATTTCCCTTTCACTTTCAAAAAACATCCATCAAGAAGTTCATTCCTTGCGGCAAGAATGAAATCTGTTAAAAATTTATGAAATTGATGGTATCTGGCAACAGTGCCCAAAAGCTTATCCATGATGATTTTGAAAAACCACCCTATTCCACACAAATTGAGTCATATTAATAGTGCTTAAACATTTACGAGCTTGTACAGCCTCTCGGTCGAACGGACGAAGTGCGGGACGGAGGCTTGCGCGAAGCGCGATTGGCGTTTCACGCCAGCGAAGGCCACCAGGCCCTCCAAACCGGAGGACTTTGTGAAGTTCAAAACATTCAAGCAACTGGCCTGGTGATCTGAACACAAGTCACCCTGACAGCAACTTTCCACGTTTTAAATTTGCATTAGGCACAACCAGCGTCCCAGACATGTGGATTGCAGGGATCTACATAATCATTCATTGGAACCAGTCGGTTCCCTTGTCGGCGACCCACTTCCGCCCGACATGTGCAGTTCCAAGATTAAATTGAAGGCGATTGGGCTGTTGGATTATTCGCTTTATGGCAACCCGCCGGGCCAGTCTCACAGTGGTCTGTATTGGCGGGCGGCTTCACATCTGGGACCGGAATTACATCCGTCTTCTGGTTGGCGATGGGCGAAACCATTTCTGGTCCAAGTGCTGGTCGGTTGTTGAGCAACCTAACTCTGCAGTTTATCGTGCTCACTCCCTTCCTCATGGGACTCATGCTACTGCACAATGTCGATATAAAAAACGCGTCTTGGTTCATCAATTCTGCATTCCCCATCCATCCTTCAATACTGCCTTCGTCCACCCAATACGATCTCTTCAAATTCCCTGACACTCCTATACCTGCAAACACATCAAGCTCTTCGACTGTCCTTCACTTCCATACATCAATTCGATCCCGTCCTTCCGAACACCGGCTGTAGACATATTCAGAATCACTCAAACATAGAAAAGATGAAATTCACTTTTGGATTACTTTCAGTCGTGGCAACTATCCTCAGCACCCCGACTGTCACAGCTGTCCCTACTCATGGGCTTCATCGAGGCGTAAGTTTGAAGAAAACTAGACGGATTTCCATCCTCTGCCAGTAGATGATATGGAGTTAACCAATTGAACTTTTTCTTTAAACAGTATTTCGGTAGACCTGGCTATGGCGCCGGGTACGGGGGTGCCTATGGCACCGGGTATGGGGGTGGATATGGTGGATATGGTGGAGGGTACGGTGGAGGTTATGGGCGAGGATATGGGGGTTATGGTGGAGGCTATGGTGGGGGGTACGGTGGAGGGTATGGTGGAGGAGGTGGTGGACTAGGCTTAGGGGTACGTGTTCCAAGTTTTCGTTCTGAATCCTTTTTTGAACCGGTTTCTCATTCTTTTCTTAAATGGCCCTTTGGTTCCTTCAGTTTGGCCTTGGTGTAGGCGTCGGTATTGGTATTTAAATACATTAGCCTCCTTCTCGTTAGTCCAACATGGATGATTCAGTAGGTTTTCATTTCGAATTCACTCACAAGCTCGCAACATGTACTATAAAGCTGATTCTTTGTTCTTACCGCACAGTTACTGGCAAAAGCCAACGGGAGAGATGACACACCAAACATCTTTGAATTCGTTTTACATTGCTCCATAAAGGCACTCATTTCATCCTCTCTGCCCCTGACGGCCTTCGACATATAACATACATTCTTCAAGTGCACAAGGCAACATTACTTTTCTAGAATATCTAGCGTTTACTTTTGGGTCTTCATTGGGTTCATTTGTTGCAAACTCGCTTTCTTTTTATATTGGGTTTCGGTTTTGCGTTGGGAATTGTGTCATTCGAAGCGGCTATTGTGGGCATTGTAAAGATAACATTTAGGAAAGTTGCGATAACTAGATTTTTTTAAATTCACAACAAGCAATGGTCATCTCTTTCCATCATCCCTAAACAACCTGAAGACCCAGGGACCATATCATAAGTTTGAGAGCTGGAAAACTGATTTGAATGAATTCTAAACTAGTACCATCTCATAATCACAAGACCAGTGGACCAGGAAAAGCTGCAAAATTGGAAATATGAAATTTTTGCGGGTTTTCAAGGGCCAGTCAAAAGGAATGTGTCGCTGTTGAAAAAGTGCGCGCCTTTGGGAAGTGGCACCTGAGACGCGCAAGGATAAGGCGTTCAAGCCTTTTTTTTCTGGTGGCTCTCACGATGATTCAAGCTTGGTTTATTTGTAAGTTGAAATCCTTCTGTATTCAGAAAGTCGGATCCATTAAGGCAATCAAGGGAAAGAAATCTATGCAGGATGAGACCCTCCCAAAACCAAGGTTAGTGAAGGGCGCGCCAACAAGTAATCCAGTGATTTTGGAGTGCCAGATGCGTTTCAACGCGCCCAAGGCACTGGCAGCAAGAACCCCATAGTCGGGAACAGCATCCGGCTGCTTCCCAGCAGGTGCTTTCGTCTGATTGACAGCGGTTCCAGATGAAGTTGTTAGTGTGAGCATTGATCTCATTCGGTCTGGTGAGGTGATGCTATTTTACTCCAATCCAGCCCGCTTGAACGCGGATAATGGTTGACAATAATGACTGCGCTGGGCAAAAATCAAGGTGAAGCGCATGGGTTGACCTACATACTCTTCTAAATCTCACAAAAACATAGATGATCATACTCAATCTACCACAACCGTTAAGATCTCGCCAGATAGGTAGATTGCTAGGTTGCAGCTACAGGGAAATGTTTGCTTTTCATCTTACCAGTTCTTGAGAAAAATCAGATTTGTGATTCATATTTTCCACGTTCTTATTGGATCTGTCTGATGTGGCTGATCAGTGCGTATATCAGATAAATTCAAATGGAGCACGTTGCGCTTTGCGGCGTTTTGGGTTCAAAGTAGGTAAAATTCGTTATCATAATTTATTTGTAAGGAAAGTAAGGAAACATTTTAAATTCAAATTCAATACTACAGTTAAAAGCATACAAGAAAAGACTATCATCAACACCAATTCAGGCTGGGGGGTCCGCCAAAGGTGGTAGCTCGACTACAGCTCGGCAGTGAGGGCAGCCAGGGCTTCGTTCGAGCCAGGGCTACAGAAGAATTGGATTGAAGTGTTCAGCGATTAATTGTGATAGTTGAGGGTAGGAAAAAATGCTTACTTGGATGCATTGTTGGTGAAAAACGTGGGTGGGATGACATGGAAGCTGGATAAGAGTAGATTCAGCGAGAGTGAGATCATCGTTGCAAACCACGCATTCCAAAGCATTGCCATCGGGGTTCAATGGCAAAGCAGCGGGGTCAGTGATGGAAAGAGTCGGCATGAGTTGTCGGACTTGGCGTCGTCGCAGTTCGTAGGCAGTAGCTCGAGCTTCTTCCAGGGGCCCAATCAGCATCATCCATAAGAATAAAATATGGTACAAGGGTTGAGCGACGGCGTCGTCGAGATGGGCCAAAGCCTCATCGATTTCGGGCTGATCACCGAAGTAGATATCGCGTTCCTCCGCATCGAAGCGGTCCCGGATAGGGTTGTCGGCCAATGCTTCGTAAGCGAGTTGCGACGCGTCGAAGTGACTGCGAAAGAGGTATTCATCTTCTGGCGTGAGGTGCGACAAAGCCTCTTCCGTTAGAGCTAACATTTCTGCGTCCATATTGTATATTTATTAGATTGGTTTCTTTTGTTGGAGTGGCTCTTGGGGGGATAAGTTTAGAAGGGAAGGCGAGGGATGGGATGAGATAGAAGCTGGAGCTGGGAAGAGGATTGGTGCGGCTGGAAGCGTACGTCTCTTTATACCTTTCATCAATGCTGAGCCTTAATGCAGCAGCACTTGTAGTAGGGCTGGTGGTTGAAGTGCTGAGGACTCGTGCTACTTGCATCCTTTGTCTAGACTGCTGCAGAGGAGGCTCAGCTGGATAGATGCTACAATACAGGTATCTGAGCAAACCCCGGCACGTATGTAAATTGATCGTGTGTTAGTAGCTCTACTACATCTCTCCGTTGCTGAGCCTCCTGCTTTAAAAAAAAACCTTGCTTGCCTCACTGGTATGGCTAAGGATTTAAGATTGATTGGGCTACAAAATAGGCGGGAAATTATATTTCCAGGTTGTTCTTTATGATTAAAACAAGAAAAGAACTCGCGGAAGTGAAGACTCTCTCTTAAAATGGTCCTAGGCAAAGCCGAGCTGCAAAACTCTCATCAGACTTTAACAAGCCATTTGAGACCTAAGATTCACTTGTTCTTCCTTGAAAAACAGGAAGAGCCTAGCTAATGGTTTCCTAGGATTGACAAGTCCTGTGCCAGTGAGGAAGTCATCAAAAAGAGGCGTCCCCTCCGTGACCGCGCCCCAAACTGGATGATTGTTGTTTTTGATTGCACAACTGCTAACCTATGCTAGTCATCAACCCACACCAACGATGGCGCGAGCACTTCGGTTGGCCATCCGGAATGCTTGCGCCAACGATACAGAAAATTTCCGGGTGGCTATTGGTATAAGCCAAATTACAATGCTTGTCTTCTTAGACATGCAGATCCATCAAAGAAATTGAGAAAAAACCCTATAGATGGAGTAGAACCTCCAAAGCTAAGTGTCAGTGGAGGGTGCGCCTTAATCCATGATTTTGGGGCCTTGGACGCGCGTCAACGCGTTCAAGACACTGACGCCTAAATCAAGACTGTTTGGAACAGCTTTAGGCTGCTTCTTGGCAGTTGCTTGGTTGGAATGACAGCTTGAAGTTCAATCTCAGTTAAAGTGAGTGGTGTGGGCATCGGCTTGGTAAGCTGACTCCAGCCCAGTCCGCTTGGAGAGATGACTGCACTACGGAATAAATCAAGGTCGGCTCCGTGGGCTAACCGACTCTGTTCAATCTAATCAATAAATACATGATCATATTCAATCTAACGCAATTATTAAGATCTCGCCAAGATGGCTATCTTCACGGAAAGGCTGGCTTTTTATTTTGCCAGTTCTTCAGACAAATCACATTTGTGATTAATCTTTTGTAGGTAGGTATTGGATCTCTATGGTGTGGCTGATCAATGCGTATACCAGATACAGTCAAATGGAGCGTGTTGCGCTTTGCCGCGTTATAGATTCAAAGTAGGTAAAATTCATCATCATAATTTATTCGTAAGGAAAGTAGGGAAACATTATAGATTGAAATTTAATAATACAATTAGAATGATACGAGAAAAGACCATCATCAACACCAATTCAGGCCGGGGGGTCCGTCAGAGGTGGTAGCTCGACTACAGCTCGGCAGTGGGGGCAGCCAGGGCTGCGTTCGAGCCAGGGCTACAGAGGAATTGGATTGAAGTGGTCAGCGATGAATTATGATAGTTGAGGGTAGAAAACATTGCTTACTTGGATGCATTGTTGGTGAAAAACGTGGGTGGGATGACATGGAAGCTGGATAAGAGTAGATTCAGCGAGAATGAGATCATCGTTGCAAACCACGCATTCCAAAGCATTGCCGTCGGGGCTCAATGGCAAAGCAGCGGGGTTAGTGATGGTAAGAGTCGGCATGAGTTGTCGGACTTGGCGTCGTCGCAGTTCGTAGTCAGTAGCTCGAGCTTCTTCCAGGGGCCCAATCAGCATCATCCATAGAAATAAAATATGGTACAAGGGTTGAGCGACGGCGTCGTCGAGATGGGCCAAAGCCTCATCGATTTCGGGCTGATCACCAAAGTAGATATCGCGTTCCTCCGCATCGAAGCGGTCCCGGATAGGGTTGTCGGCCAATGCTTCGTAAGCAAGTTGCGACGCGTCGAAGTGACTGCGAAAGAGGTATTCATATTCTGGCGTGAGGTGCGACAAAGCCTCTTCCGTTAGAGCTAACATTTCTGCGTCCATATTGTATATTTATTAGATTGGTTTCTTTTGTTAGAGTAACGCTTGAGGGGATAAGGCTGGGAAGGGGTGGATGGGATGAGATGAGATGAGATAGAAACTGGAGGTGGGAGGATGAATGGTACGGCTGGAGCCGTAAGTCTCTTTATACCTTTCATAAATGCTGAGCCTTACTGCAGCAGCACTCGTAGTAGGGCTGGCGGTTGGAGTGCTGAGGACTCGTGCTACTTGCATCCTTTGTCTAGACTGCTGCAGAGGAGGCTCAGCTGAATAGATGCTACAATTCAGGAATCTGAGCAAACTTCGGCACGTATGTAAATTGATCGTGTGTTAGTAGCTCTACTACATCTCTCCGTTGCTGAGCCGCCTGTTTAAAGCAAAAAATCTTGCTTAGCTCGCTGGTATGGCTTCTGCCAAAGCGGAGAATATAAGATTTAATGTGCTCAGAAATAAATATGGGCTGGATTTTATTTACAGGATGTTCTTTTTGATCAAGCCAAATAGAGAAAACACCTCGCTGAACTGGAGCCTTGTGTTTATCCTATTCCCAAGTATATGCCAGCTTCAAAGGCGTCTCCGTGTCTACTAAGAAGCTCAAGAACTAAGATTCTCTCGATATTCGTGACAAAACTGACAGACCTTGCCAAGGCCTTTTCTAGGATAGCAAAGCCATTTACGGGAGTGTAGAAAGTTGCCGTCAGGGAGTACTCTTTCCACTATCAGACACCGCTCTCGACGAGGGACTTGCCCCTTTTCCAGCTTGTTCAGGCTCTGATTGTGATCTTTGAGTGCTTTGTATGTTTTTCAATCCACTTGACCGCTATCACCTGGGATGCGAGTAGAGGCGCCTTACCCATCCCAGGGAAAACGATATGTGGCGTGCCGCAGAATGAGATTATTTACACCACGGCTCAATTTCTTTTTGCTTGCTTGTGTAGGCGTGAGTTGGTAGTTCGAGTGAGCCGTTGCCCACCTGAACACCCAATGTCTTACAGAGCAGACAGGTCAGTTATGGCGACCGACCCAGCTGACTTTTCCCTCCTCGACAGCTGACTTGCCGTCTTGATGATCTTCGCATACTGGTCAAAGGGAATGGGATTATGATCTTTTTGGTACCATTCTTGAAAGCAGGGAAGAGAACAAGTAGAGATGGTGGGAGGAGATTGAGGAAGCGATTTGTTGGCGCAAGGATGAAACATGGACCAAAGTATTCAGTTTTCCTTTTGCTACTGATAATGATATCATCTTTGGCATTCTGTGAATTACCGCACCGCGAGATATGAGCGATATAATATTTCGAATTCTCTCTTTATGGCCACGCCATAAAATACCTCTTCAAACCCTTCTAATTCTCTTGCTCCTACTCCTAGGCATATGTCACCTGTAAGACCGTCTCAGTGTTTACCAAAGAGATCGAATGTTAGGATTCGCTGGATTCTCATGGCTAAACTGGCAGAGTCTGGCCAATCCTTTCCTATAAGGATGTCAAAACCACTCAGCTGGGACAAAGTCTCCAACAAGAGGCACTCTCTGCATTGGTAGACAATGCTTTCAAAGAGAGACATGAACCTTTTCTATCTTACGTGATTACGCGTGGATTTTGATCCTGAAATTAAGTGTCAAGTTAAGAGAGACTCCATTGCTAAGGCAGGAGGGAGCCTCTATTTATACTCATGGCTAAGGTACAAGAGAGCGGTCTCTCAGTGAGACCGCAAAGGAGAAATAAGCATGTAAATACAAGCTATCAGGCCAGACGGCCGGTAAAGGAGAGAGAGAGAAGATATGGCCAGACGGCCGGGATCGGGTAATGCAAGCGGCGGCCGGAAAGACGGGAAAGGCTACTATACATCATTGGAAGAGGGAGATAGGATAAGATTGGAGAGGGACTTGCCGTTCTCGATGACCGTCCCGATGGACAGTTGTTTCTCGTCCAAGGCAAGAAGGCCTCGGATCCTGGCCGGAGCACGGATCAGGTCATCACACTTACTCTGTGTCTGACTGCGGACGTCGAATGCTCATGTTTTCCAATCCTCTTTGCTGCTAGTACATGACATACTAGAGTCGCCTCAACTATAAGGGAAAAAACATGTCGCGTACTTTATTACACAGCTGAATAATTGCACCACGCGCCTGATTGTTTCTTTTTTTTTGCTTGCGCAGGCGCTTCTCCGCAGTCAAAAGCACGTCTGTGCCCGCTTGACAGGTCTGTGACAGCGGTCGACTCGACTGACGTTGGCCTCCTCGGCAACTACCTTGCCATCAAGGCAGTCTTCCTTTGCTGGTTAATGGCAATAGGGTTATGATCTTTTTGGTACATACCATTCTAGAAAATCGGGTAAGAGAGCATATAGAGATAACGAGAGGAGATGGAGGGGGTGATGATTTGATAGAGCGATGAAACATGTCGATCACAACAATTCCCGATTTTTTTTTCTGGTGAATTCATCTATGACAATCTCTTGCTAGTCGAGGTCCAAGCAAACTTAACCAAACTTACACTTCCACTCCGGGGCGCGGGTCGCGAGGCTTAGGTTAGCGAGGTCCTTGATTCCTTTCGCCGAGACTTTTTCCTTGATCATATAATACGGGACTGCTGAAATTTTTCATGTGTTAATATTGATGAACAACGTGTATATTTTTCTAATTGGATACTTGACAATTTTTTTGCCTACTGGAATCGCATTGAGCAAGGCTTCACTACCGTGAGATTGATTCGGTATGAAGGAGAAGAAAAATATGAGCAATCTTTGTTGTCTTCTGTCATTCAGAATAGATATATCGGATGGAACATCACCAAGTGAATGTAGCCAAAGCGTCCGTTTTCAGCTACTTAATCTTGTGAGTTTTTTTTTTGAGAAACTGAGTTATGCCATTGGCATGGGCGCGTTTTCTCTAAGCAGACAAGAAGGAAAATGTACCTTAAATTATTTTAAACCCTCTACTTGGGTAATGTTACATGGGGCATGTTCAGGCGACAAAAATGGCATTCATGATTGCCATTGGTGCATGCCCAATGGTTTCATTTTCACTTTACAAGACATCAGCAGATAACTTCATTCCTTCCAGCAAGAACGAAAACAATTCCAAAATTCAAGAAACTGGGGGCATCTGGTAACAGTTTCCTACAACCTTTACAAATGGCATGATTCTAAACAAATCGGGCCAGAATAGTCTGAACACGCGTCACCCTGCCAGCACCTACCCAATCCGAAGTTGGGACGGGCCCTCGACGCTGCTTACAAGCTCCGGGTTAATTTGAACGTTATAAATTTGTAACCAGCGTTCCATACATGTGGATTGCAGGGATCTAATCATTCACTGGAACCAGTCGGTTTCCTAGTCGGCGACCGACCTCCGCCCGACATGTGCTATTTTGCAAGTTTGAATCCAAGTCGATTTGGCTGTTGGATCACTCGGTTCATGGCAACCCGCCGGGCCAGTCTCACAGTTATCCGGATTGGCGGCTCCGTCTTCTGGTCAAGCTGGGCTACCTGGTTGAAAGCGTTGGCGATGGGCGAAACCATTTCTGGTCCAAGTCCTGGTCGGTTGTTGAGCAACCTAACTCTGCACTTTATCGTGCTCACTCCCTCCCTCATGGGACTCATGCGACTGCACAATGTCAATATAAAAAACGCGTCTTGGTTCATCAATTCTGCGTTCTCCATCCATCCTTCAATACTGCCTTCGTCCACCCAATACGATCTCTTCAGATTGCCTGACACTCCTATACCTGAAAACACATCAAGCTTTTCGACTGTCCTTCACTTCCATACATCAATTCGATCCCGTCCTTTCTGAACACCGGCTGTAGAAATATTCAGAATCATTCAAACATAGAAAATATGAAATTCACTTTCGGATTACTTTCAGTCGTGGCAACTATCCTCAGCACCCCGACGGTCACAGCTGTCCCTACTCATGGGCTTCATCGAGGCGTAAGTTTGAAGACACCTGGATCGATTTCCATCCTCTGTTAGTAGATGATATGGAGTTAATCAATTGAACCTTTTCATTTAAACAGTATTTCGGTGGACCTGGATATGGCGGTGGGTACGGGGGTGCCTATGGCTCCGGATACGGGGGTGGATATGGAGGATATGGTGGAGGGTACGGCGAAGGTTATGGGCGAGGATATGGAGGTTATGGTGGAGGTTACGGTGGAGGCTATGGTGGAGGCTATGGTGGAGGCTATGGTGGGGGGTACGGTGGAGGGTATGGTGGAGGCGGCGGTGGACTAGGCTTAGGGGTATGTGTTTCGAGCTTTCCGTTCTGAATCCTCTTTGGGTCGGTTACTCATTCTTTTCTTAAATGGCTCTTTGCTTCCTTCAGTTCGGCCTTGGTGTAGGCGTCGGTGTTGGGATCTAAATACATTGGCCTCCTTGCCGGAATTCGAGCATCGATGATGATTTGGTAAGCTCTCATCTTGAATTCACCAAGACTCTAGCACGATAGCACATATTTGATGCTAATGAGGACTCTATGCCGCTTCAGTCGTTCGGGAACAAGTATGCTTGAGCGATCCCACAACAAACCCCTTGCGAATCCGCTCGGCATTGCCTCAAGAAATACACTCATTTCATGTTCTCGGCCTGTGGCGACCTCGGACACATCACATAAATTACATCTTCAAGTGCCAGGCAACAACAGTTTTCTAGATTCTCTACCGTTCATATAATGGGCTTTTCTTGGGTTCACATCTTGCAGCTTCGCTGTCTATATAAAGTAGGTCTTGTATAGCAAATATTATCATTTGAAGCAGCCTTTGTGGGCATTGTAAACATAACACTTGGTGAAATTGCACAATGAGTATTGTTGATCTTCCATCAGCATCAAACAACCTGCAGACTTACGGCTCATGTTTCACCAAGTTTGTGAATTGCCAAACTGAAGTGATACCACAGCCAGAAATAGAGTGTGCAGTATATAATATAGGGGCAAATCGTGCCAGATAACAAGTGACCGTATCCACAGACAAGAAAGCTATTCCTATGCCTATTACAGCACTATTCAACATCATCGAAGCCCACACTGGTCTGATGGACGTCACATTTTCAAAGGGCCGGGGGTGTGGCCAGTTACACCAGCTAGCCTCCCATGAGGGGGACACCTCTCCCGATAAGTCCGATAATGACGGCTGGAAGGGTACTGTGCAGCTTATTTCCAACTGAGGCTCATTTGAAACGGCCCATTCCAAACAGAACCATCCACTTCCAGTAGCCACTCCTTTCAGGTAGTATGCAGGTGTCCTTGGTTGACTGATTCTCACTTCACAAAGGAAAACAAATCTACTTGTAGACCCATTTGTTTGGATAAAAGGCTATTTACGAAATTGAACTTCATATGGAAGCATTAAAAATGTTCCATCTTGACATTTGTTGATTGGTTTACTCAAGTAGCCTGCTTCTCCGACGCATTAGACATGCGCATGGTTGAAGGAGTCATGCGAGACAACCTATGTCCTTGCTCGCAATGCCAAGGGATGTCATGTCTCAAATTCAAAAAATATTACCTGGCAACTCTTTCCATATGTCAAGACTGTTGAGTTGATTTTGAGGAGCATCTGGCTATTCGATGTCTGACTTTCTTGATTGGCATGATTGAGCGGCTTGAATCAGTGTGAAGGAGAGCTCCTTGGATTGACTTTGAGGTGGATCACGTGGGCGATTGCAGTTTTCAATCATGTGAGGCGGAGGAGGCACTGAACTGGGTTGACAAGTCCAGTTCTCAATTAAAGCGGGCAGGAGAGGTAACGGAAATAGTTTCATGATGTATGCATAGTGAGGGAAATGTAGTCAAATCTTTTTTTATGCGTCGTCAGTCTCAACTACTTGTGTGTCCAATCCCTGAGATAAAAAGAAACAAAAATCAGCAAAATTGCGGGCGCGGTCTATATGGAGACAATAGCACCCGGTCTTACTTTGAAGTCAGCAACCTCAACGAAGGATGCCAGGGTGTAGAGTTTTTCCTTGGAGTCCTCGTCATCGTTACGTTGACCTGTTATTCAGATGCAATCATACGAAGGTCAGATCGAAGGCGAATGATGGAGGGAGCTGGGAGAAGTCAACAAGGATATCAATCGTACGGGCTAGTCGAACTCGCATCCTCCGGGGCACATTCCTGATACCGTGGTTCCAGATGGCAGCGTTCAGTCCGGGGTCGATCCGGACATCTTGAGTACCCATGGCTTTCCGGGCGAACTCGGTGACGGCCTTGACGGCTTTGGGAGCACGCTGATCAGAGTAAGGAGTAAGTTAGATACGAAATTGAAGGCTTCGTGAGTGAACATTTCATCTTGAGAATCGGGATAAGATTGCGATGGGGGGAGGGCGAAGCGAGGATGACAGACCTTCTTGAACCCATGGCCGAAGACGTGCTTGTGGAGGTGAATGGTGTACTCCCGGGTCACAACATCCGAGAGAGCCGAGCGGGCTTTGCGTTCCTTCTTCTCACGTGGGGCCATTTCGAAAGTGGAAAAGGGTGAAGTCGATCGTTAAGCTTGGGTGGTTTGTATCAGGGCGCACGCCAGCGAGGGGAGGGGAGGGGGAGAGGCCGTGCTGGGTGGCTGCGTTGGCCGATGCCGATGGACCGACTGCGCGCGAGTTCTTGCTTCGGCCTTCAGTCACTGCGCGGGAATCTCATCAGGATAGGTTTCAACAGCCGACTGTAACACGTGAAGACATCTGTGACATCTCATCCGGCAGCCGGCTGGGACCCGGGGGACCTTCCGCACCTCATGGGCAGCAGGCTGCTCATCTGGGCTATACGCCAACACTAAAACAGGCATTGCAACTCAATCTCTCGACTCAAGATAACCGGAAGGACCAACCGTTGAAGGTCATGTGACATTTGATTCTGCTCCTTCATGAAGAACACCATAATGATACTGAACAAACACACCGGAAGAAATTGGATGTGCTTGTTCAAACATATTTTGGAATACATGGATTATTATTTGAGATTGTGGTGCTGTTCCTAGTTTAGCATTTGGGTTTTCATCCACTGACATGGACAAAAAAGTGATGAAAAGGAGCAGCAAAGGTAATTGAATACTGTGAAGCATGTTGAAAAGCCTCCCACATGTATGGAAAAGTGTGTCAAATACCTCTTGATCAGGTCCAAACCCTTGTGGGACCAAATCTTTGGTCCAGGAGATCTTGAGAGTTGTTTCCCAATACTAATACAAAGGGTGGCCAAGGGAGTCATCAAGCCAATTACAAAAAGAAATCAGGAGCTGTTCTCCCAAACCTGTGTATATGTTCTGGAGTTTTCTCAACAACATGAGCAACAATGTGATAGATCCAATCCAATATGGTATCAGCCGATTTATCGGATCGGATTGCTTGAACGATCCCGGGGATCGAAAAATGGGGGATTGGATTGCCCACCCAATCCAATACCCAGGGTATCGGATCGCAGCATGGAGTATTGGGGCATGAGGGATCGGTATCGCATTGCAATACCGATCCAATACCCATCCGGTATTGGGTGGATCAGTTCAAAAGGCATTTTTTTGCCCAAAAACGTTTTTGCAAGGATTTTTTTTTATCTTTTGCCATTATAACATAAAATAAAATAAAAATTGAATATTGGACTGTATTTATCTAGACATGGAGGGGGACTTGGAATCTTTTTTCATTGTTTGTAATATATTTATAATTTTCATACTTAATGTAAAGAAATATACATTACGACTACAGCAGTTCCCAGAAAGCTCGCGCTCGCAAGCTCCTGGGATCCATTTTTTTTTTCTTCTCACTTTTTTTGTGCCTCGTAACCTGTACACATGACTGTACAGGTTGCGAATCTGCTTCCAATGCCCCACTAGGCCTCCGGGCACCAGTCCGGTTGCCTAGTGGCAGCTGGGCAATGCTTCATGTGATGGCCGGTTCCGACTCAAAAAAATGAGAGGAATCCAATGGTCCAACTCCCATATCTTCAACTTGAAAGATGGGGGAGTTGGGCCATGATGCCTGCAAGATTGTGGCTGTGCGAGGCCACGTACAGGACAAAAAGGAAAAGAAAAAGAGTGGCACAAAAAAAAATCGGGATCCCAGGAGCTCGCGACAGCAAGCTTTCTGGGAACTGCTGTATATGTTTCTTCATGGGATTTTTTTTCTAGTTGTCATGGGTGTTAAATGAATTTTGGGAGACTGAGTGGGGGTTGGTAGAGGCTGTGAATACAGGGCCAATAAAATATAGATAAGAGAAGAAGAAAAAATTGATAGATAAGAGAAGAAGAAAAATGATAGAGAAGAAAAGATAAAAAAATTGTAGAGAAGAGAAGATAAAAAAATTGTAGAGAAGAGAAGAAATTACACTTTGACGCTTGAGGTCGAAGCCACAGGTTTTTTTGTTGTCTTGGCTGCTTCCAATTCCGCTTGAGTAGCCGAGATTATGTCCTGGGCCATTGGGTAATCCATTGGTGTGAACTTACACATCTCTCAATTGTTTTGGCAGCTAAGTTACCTTGATCTTGCCCGCAAACATCCACCGCAGCCAAAAAACATTGCTCCACACTCGCAGACGTAGCACTTGTAGCCAGGTAGTCTTGTTCGAGTAGCGCCACCACTGGGAATTCTATTCAATATTGCTGTATTTCATAGGAAAAAAATTTATCAGATTCATATGACAAACTCAGATTCAGAACTTGAAATATGAAATGAATGAACCCACCTTCCTGTAAGGACTCCGCTGATTCCTTCACTGTCCATCAGAAATGGCACCAGCAAAGGAGCTCAATAGCTCCTACAGAGAAGTTCTAGTACCAAAGTGGGTTGAATTTCAGTCTAGACAGGAGAGAAAGATCTCTCGTTAGTATCTACAAGTGGAGGAAAATGAGAAGAGTCGGAAGGAAGAAAGGGTACTTACCTAGACAGGAGAGAAATATCTCTGCTGTACATTCGCCTCCCTAACTGCTGGTCCTTTGTTCTCACTGTGATTGGAGTCTGAATCATCAACAAAACCTTCTTGATCAAAGGGGTTGGCCATTGGGCCCACTTGGCCTGACTTGGATGATTTTTTGGTTATGGCACACAGTCCTGGGACAAAGCCCAACATGGTGCTGGTGGGGATTTGAGTGCGTTGGGGTACCAAGATCAATTTGAGACCGGCATTGAGGATGAGGGCCAGCTTCTGACAGAAGCACCGAATATGGTTCTTGGCAATTGAGATATCATTGTTGTGATTCGAGTCCTTCTTGAGCAATCTGTCAACTTCAACAGCCATCGTGAGGTTATTTGATCCGGAGTCAGTAGTTTGGGCTATGATGTACATACAAGATACAAGAGAAGTTCTGATTAGCTGGTGTGTGATTCACAGTGTTATACATAATAATAAATAGAAAAACTTATCTTATTGTTTAACACAGACTTGAGGAGAATGTTGGCCAATGGGATCACCAGATATTTGGCCTTATGCATCCAAGCAATATACTTAACCAATAGATGGCTGACCTTGAAATTCCAACTGTCATCAATGTAAGCGACGGTGATACCAAGAAAAGCACTCCAATTCCCCCTAGTAGTCCATACGTCGTGGATAAGGCTGAGCTTTGAGGTATTTGACTATGAATTGAATTGCAGAGGAGCAATCAGCCAATGAATTGCATGATCATGAGCACTGAAAAAGAAGGAAAAAGCTTACTTGGAGAGAATCCAAGACCTTGCTCTGCAAGTGGCAGTACAGCCGATGGGCCTCAGTGGCAGCCCACTTGCGGGTGTATGGCTTGGCCACATGACAAAGATATCAGAATGCTATTCCTAAAATGAAATCCTCGATTCGAACCCACGGCAACAAGTGTCAGATTATCCACATCATGAGGAGCTGGTTGAACGTATTGTTGTCGAAGTTGTTGCTGTCTACCATTTTCCTCATTGCAACCTCCTTGGGTTGGTTGTTCAGGGCGTTTTTTTCCTTCATGGTCATAGGCAGCTTACACCCAGCTGAAATTGCCCGGCCTCATCCGGAGCACGGTTCTCGGTTTGCATTGCCATCTTGATGTTTGATGAGGTTTGCCCGAGTTCCAACACCTTTTTGATACGGGACATCACACCATTTACATTTGTAAGACACAGGTTCAGTCTAACAAACATAAGAAAATTCAAACCACATCATCAGTTGTGTCAAAGAAACCAAATAGAATAACATAAAAAAAATCATAAGAGTAACAAATAGCCCAGACTTACTTTGCCTTCCTCAAACACAGGTGGATGAAAATAATCCTCCACATCATCAAATTCTCCGTCCTTTGCTTTGGCCTTCTTTTTGTGAAGCTTGAATTGGCAGTTTGCATTGTCTGAATCCTGAGTGAATTCAATCATCCTTGCAGTCCCATGCCTTTCAGTGTTTGATTGAGAAGATGACTTTTCATTATCTGTACTTGACTCAGACTCAGATCCCTTGCTGGATTCAACCACCCTCTTGCTTTTGTGTTTCTTGAGCTTTTGAGAGACCTTGGTCTTCTTGGGCTTCCGGGCGGCATGTGTTGAGGTCAAAGCTGATGCAGACGATGGCCTTTGAGGACGTTTACGAGTCTGTTTGGAAGTGGTTTGGATGGTTGAGGAAGGGGGCAGGGCCTTGCTAGAGTTTTTGCTAGGCCTGAAGAAATTGGGATCATTTTGGACAGGCATGGTTATCCTGGTTGAATGTCAAGATGGTGGGCGAGAGGCTGATGGGGTGGCTGGGGGAGGAGTGTTGGCCTGAGACCTGGAAGCAGGGGTTGAGGAGGTTGCCCTGATCAAATAGAGAGTATGAAGCTGATGTTTCTCGCAGGGTTGTCCTTGTTGAAGTCTTTGAATAACTAGGTATGTCTGAAAAAAAGGTCCAATGATATGTTAGTTGAAATTGAATTATCATTTGGAAGAATGATTAAAAATAGTTATCATGCATTAAATAAAAAAATACTCACCTTAAAGTTACACTAGAGACAAACCTAAATAAATGGTAAAAAAACAAAAGTGGTCAGTGATGATCATGAACCATAAAAAGTAGTGATGAACCATAAAAAAATAGTGATGCACCAATACATAAGAATGAAAAAAAATCAAAACAAATCAATACTCAACTTACACTAGAGACAAACCTAAATAAATGGTAAAAAAAAAACAAAGTGGTCAGTGATGATCATGACCCAAAATAAAAAGTGATGAACCAATGGATAATAATGATGAAAGAAAAAACACACCTGACACTACAGTACACACGTCAAAGGGGAATCTAAAAATCCATATAAAAGAAAGTCACAGTTGAATGTCAGTGATGAAGTTACCAAAAATAACTCAAACTGTCAGATACAATCCAATACGCAATATCGTATTGTATTGTATTGATGACTCACCTCAGGACCCGTCTTGCTGGCTCGCGCAACTACTTGACAGTAGTGTGACACAAAGAAAAGATTGGGGGGGGCAATTTAGAAAAAAAGAATCATGGGAGGGGGGGCAAATTCCAACGAGCGTGTTAAGTAGCTTGGGTGAGGAGAAGATTGCTCGGGCCCCTGGTGATGAGTCCAGGCTGAGCGGGTTAGGTAGCTTGGGTAAGGAGAAGATTGCTCGGGCCCCGGGTGATGAGTTGAGTCTCAGATGGGACTCGGGAGGGCAGGAATACAACCAAACAAGGGTTGAACTTGAAATGACTTGACCGACTCTTGTGACCAAGCGTTGAATTTCAAATGAGAGGGGCGGTGTCGGTGTACGGGACCAAACGGGTCCGGTTGATTGGTAAACCAACACGTAGACTAGGCCAAGAGGGGTGGTGCCAGAGGGGCCGTGCTGTGGCGTGTGAGGTTGGTTGTGTCGGGGAATTGTTGCCAACAAGCTACTCCGACTTTTCTACTAATGGCAAGTGGGGGTTGGTGGTGAGTGGACAGGGTGGTGGGGTGGGGAGGTTGTAGTGTAGACTCCAAGGGTTGGTTGGAAATGATGACCGACCCAAGAATCCTGGGCCCCAATACAGTATCAGGAACAGATTGGATCGGCTGGGGCAATACCAATACCAAGTTCCCACATGGCTTGGATAGGATTGCTCCAGCCAATACCAATCATCCAATAAATCAGGATTGGATCAGCAATAGATCTGATCCCAATACATAGTATCGGGCAAGATTTTGATCCAATCCCCGATAAACACCGATCTGGGGATCGGATCTGTTACATTGTTGACATGAGGCTTCCTTGGCCAGAAGGATACAATACAAAAGTATTTTGAATTTTGGATTTTGTACTTGCCAGCTGAATGCAATGTATTTGTAATGTATTTGTTGACCAGGGTGATACATCATATTCAAATACAGCCTACCTAACATGCTTGCAAACGTTTTACAAATAAAATAAAAAGTTTGCTTGAGCAAAAAAATATATTTTAATTGAAATATCAGTTGGCTGCCTGTTGGAACTCTCACTGTGTGATAGCAGATAGTTGAGTTTTCCTGATTTTACCACCCTTCATACTGTCCCATAAGCCAAAAAGTTTTTCTTTGCAAGTCAAACTTTTAATTTTTTTGTCAAAAGTTGCAAGCATTGTTGGGTTGGCTGTACACATGTACTCAAAACAAAATACAATAGAATGTAGTGCAGATACAATACATGTATTGTATTTGTTGCTGTTATGAGCTGTTGGAGCCTGGCACAGGGGATGTTACATATGTACAGTGGGTAGTATGCAAAAATACCGGATTTGTGTCGTCTCACTTTCCTGAGACAATACACACGTATCGTCTTTGGAAAGTGAGACAAGTATTCTGTATTGTCTCAGATGACTGATCCCACCAAAACCGTATTTGATACACAAGATATTTGGCCGTATTGAAGAAAAAAGAAAAAAAAACAAAGACAATTTTTTTTTCATTTGTAAATCCGAATCCAAGAGAACAAATTTTTTCACCAACCAAGAAAATACTGATACCGGTATCAGGCTTAAAATAAAGAAAATACAATCTAATACAGATACATGTCTTGTATCTATTGCACAGTTGCTCGGATGGCCGATGTGGCCAACAGATACCTGCCGGTGGATGAGGATGCAAATCCGGATTTCTGATTCTGCTGAAAAAGCAAGCAGATATCTGAATGTGGAAGGGCCATCTCTATCTAAAACCCAGCTTGTTGGGAGAGACCCCTCACAACAAGATGGAATGTACACCAGCTTATTGGGCAGGATTGCTCCCCATGAGATGGTCTCAACTAGGGGTGAGGATGGGTCGGGTCAGGGCAAAAAAATGCCAACCCGACCTGCCCCATAAATTAATGGGGCAGGTCAGGTCGGGTCGCAGTGGCAACGAAGGCCGCCCCGACCCAGGATAAGACCCACTAATTGGGTTGTGGGTCAGCATGGGGCGACCTGTGGGTCAACCCATGGGCCGACCGTTTTTTGATCGGTTGGGCTTTTTGGGGAGGGGGGTAGCTTTTTTATCTTCCTTGCATCATGTATGTACTAATGTAATGATGAGTGAATTCAATGTGGAGGGGAGAGAAGGAAACAAAGAATGTTATGGGGATTGGGCAAGAAAGAAAGAAAAAAAATTGTTGAGAGAGAAAGAAACAAAGAAAAAAACTAGGTCCAGCTATTCGGGTTGCTCATAGACCTCTTCGCCATTGTTCAGCCAATCTTGTGTACAAACAAGAGCCTCAAGGGAGTCCACATTTAGACTAGCTCGGAAGCCGTCAAGCACCCTTCCAGAAGCTGAGAAGGCGGATTCCGAAGCTACAGAAGTAGCAGGAATCATCAATACTGTTCGAGCAAACTGACTGAGGGTGGGGAACTGCCTCGAGTTGAACTTCCACCACTCAAGTCTGTCAAAGTGAACTCCTGTTTCAACTTTGAAATTGAGTTCTTTGAGGTAAAGATCAAGCTCACTGGTTGGACTCCCTGTTGAGCTAATACCTTTGGTTTTGGCAAGGTGTCGCTCAAAATCGATAGTATTCTGGTCTTCAACACAGACAATTTCATTGTCTGTAGCCTTCTCTCTCGCGGGGGGTGGTGGTTTTTCTTTCTCGTAAACAGTAATGTACTCGTTGTACCATGAGAACAAAGCAACTCGAATGTTCTCAATCTCACAGGGGTTTTCTTCTAGCTTGAATTCAATGTAAGACATCTTTGATCAAGGGTCAAAGACAAGCGCAATGGCGGCAAAGACCTTCATTTATACCCAGTACTTGTGAAATTTGGCAAGCATTGGGTCAACAATTTTTTGGATGTGACTACTTGTAGATGTTTGTCCTTTTAATAAGTGGCGCTCGATGTTCTTCATTGATTTAAATATCAGTTGAGAGGTTGGATACCAGCTTAAAGCTGATAAATCAATGCTAGCTACATATCATTGAGAAGACATGAGTCAAAATCTGAAGAAAGAGATCTACCAACTAATGCCAATCAAAACTTACTTTTGTAGAATAGCTCTAAGAAGTCCTTCATGGCAGATAGCTGTGACCATTCTTCAGGACTTGGACAATCTTCATAGTTGGAATATGTAGAAGCGAGGTTTTCAAATGCCTCTCTGAACGGAAGACTGGATTTAATCATGAGGAAGGTCGAGTTCCAGCGGGTTGCAACATCCTTTGATGGTAGGAAGTTGAGGCTGATGCTGGAAGTTTCAATTGCCATCTTAAATAGTTGTACTTGGGATTGACTAATTTTGGTGTACTTGACGGATTGACGAAGCTTTTGGACAGCATCAAGAATCACTGAAAGTCCATCTTTAACAATCAAGTTAATTATGTGGGAAGCACAGCAAACATGAAAGAACTGCCCATCTGCCTCCAAAGCCCTTGAACTACGATCGGAGACTATCATTTTGAATCGAGTTACAGCTACATTATTTGAAGAAGCATTGTCTACTGTAATGAAAGCGCACTTTGTTATAGATTTCCATTCAACCAAGCTCTGCACCAGCCGATCGGCAATAGCAGGACCAGTGTGAGGCGAAGGCAATTCCTTGAAGGATATGATGTGTTTGACCAACTTCCAAGCTTCATTGATGAAGTGCGCGGTGATGACCATAAATCCAGTAGTGTCTCGAGAGCTCCAG